AGGGAAGGAAAGGAAGCCAAGTAGTCAGCTACCACAGTGAGCCACTAAAGCTTAATCCTGAGGGGAAACTCTGAGACAAGGTGTAAAACACATGCCTGAAAACGTATTCCACCCAAGGGCCAGGGAGCTGGGATATTCATGTGCTAAATTCAGAGACCCTGGTTGAGCGCTCACGCTGGAGATGTGTTACTTCTTAGCATCCCTGGCTGCTGAAGGAAGCACGGATTATGCAGCCCTCCCCAGATCTAAATTGGGAGGGGGGAGAACCCTCAGGCACAAATGCAGATTCTAGCAATTGGTGTTTGGCAGGACCTGTGGTCCCTGGGGATCCAGGTGGGACACTGACAGCATCAGCTACAATACCTTCCTCCTTCCACACCCTGGGGATGGTGTACAGGAATACACAAAATGCCACGAATTAGGTAAATGTGAAGAGAAAAAAGATGTAAAGGAAAAGAAGCCTTTCTGGTGAGGGCACGAATATCCTAGTAGACTCAGGAAACAGGTGATATTTCTCAGCGTATCCTTTGTTAAACTCTGGCTCTCCAAAAATACAGCCAAAACTACCTTTGGAAAAGGCAAAACTGAGTTGCCTGCTTACCACAAACTTGACAGAGTCTCAGTAGCATCTCAAAAGGTGAGAAGTTTGGTGGGTCTGAGGTCTAGTTTAAAGCAAGTCTTTCCGTGCAGGAGCCTGATTAGAACTAAGGATCTCAATGTAATAAAGATTAGTGAACACGGAAAGGCGAGGGTTTTGAAGTGAGAGTTCCAGAGTCTTCTTATTGAAAAGTCATGTGTTTGTTTAATGGTTTTGAGGGGGAAGTTCCTGAGGTAAGCAGAGTGATTTGCAACATTAATCCTTCTGAGTGAGTGTTTTGTGGGATGGGAATTCCCTGCTAATGTTGCAGTAAAACTGTGTGGGCTTCCCTGGTGGCGTAGTGGTTGGGAGTCCGCCTGCCGATGCAGGGGACATGGGTTCGTGCCCCGGTCCGGGAAGATCCCACATGCCGCGGAGCGGCTGGGCCCGTGAGCCATGGCCACTGAGCCTGCACGTCCAGAGGCTGTGCTCTGCAACGGAAGAGGCCACAACAGTGAGAGGCCCGCGTACCGCAAAAAATAAAAAATAAAAAAACCAAAACTGTGTGGGCCGAAATGGTTTCTGTTCACACCTTCAGTGTGAGCGTATGATGTCACACAGTAAAACATGATGTAGTGAAAGTAGTTCTCTAGGAAGTCAGTCACATGCAGCCCAGGTGCCGGTAATTCTTACTGAATAGGGAAAAAATGTGCACAGGTTCCATCTTCGAGGAGGAGCAGGATTAGAGGGGGAGTCTTGGCGAGCAGGGGTGTGACAGCCTCTGTGGCTGTCCCCGGGCATGCGGCCCTGGAGCCCCGCCCTTGGGCCCAACGGGCAGGCTGAGAGCCGGGAGTCCCTGTAGAGACATTTCCTAAATGACTCCTCTGCTGGAAATGTACCCCTGCAGCGGATCCTGCCTGCCTGGCTGCCAGGTTGGGCAGCTCTCTCACTGTCGCCAGAAAGGACGTCACAGCAGGTCTGGCCTCCTGCTCGGCGCCCCCTCCCAGCCCCTGCTTCTCCCTGACTCACCCTGCCGTTGTGGCTGCTGTCCTATTCTCTGTGGATCTGGGCAGGATGCTCTCTGTTGACTTAGCCTGGCGGGATCGCCAAAACCTCAGGGCTGCTCCGCCACTTCTGTCCAGGGCCACTAATGCCAACGCATGATGCAGGGCACTGTGGAGCCTCCAGCGTGCTTGTGCCACTGGCCTCATCAGGGGTTCGCTGCGCCCCTAGCAGGCAGGCGGGCGGGATCATGCTGTTCTCCCTCCTGACAGAAGGAACTGAGGCTCAAGGTCAAGTCAGTGAAAGAACCAGGTGAGCAACCGGGTCTTCTGACCTAGTGCAGAGTTCTTTCTGGGGTGGGAAACGTCCACGTATACTCATCTCTAAAACAATTGTGACAAAATCGTCACGTAGGGCTATGGTTCCACATCCAAATGAGAGAAACGGGTCTCTCTAGTCGGAAACACAGTTGCATTTGACTGCTATCCACACAGCCTTGCTATTCAAGCATTTACAAATACAGGTGATTATTTTTTCCAGGATGATAGTAATACTGCTCATTACAGAAAATGTGCTTAGAGAGTGGATTTCTGTGCTTCAGGAGGAAAACCTTTGGTCCATTTTTTGGAGAGGATGACCTCATCTTAAATGAATGAATGCTCCTGGGGGAAGGCTGGGTCACGGTCCCGATGGTTTTGTGTTTCTAACGGAGGACTGGGCCCTTCTTACTCTCCAGGAGAGTAAATAAGTCCTTATGTTCCTAAGGGCTTAACGGAACATTGTGTCCTTTCCAACAAGCTGCTAAGGCTTATTGTGCAAGAAAAGAAAAAGAACAAGAACTTTTGTGTAAAAGACCTGGGGATGGTGGGCACTGCTCCAGGGGGAAGGGGGTCACCAATGGATGGCTCAGCGGACAGACTCCATAGATGAGGGTGGTCTGAATCTGGGCTCGTGTCCTCAAAGTGCCTGCTGACAGGACAGGGGAAAGAGCATTAGCGGGAAAGTTCTGATGTCCAGGGGCTGCGCTGGACCAGAAGGGCCAACCTAAGCTGCTGGGCCCATTCATAAGAGAAGGGCCCCCTGACCTTAGAGTGCCTGACTGATAGATCGACGTGTGAGGGAGTGAAGCTTTACAGAAGCCTGCTCTTCACACCTCCCCCAGCCCAGGACACCTGTAAGTCTCGGAAACCTGGTCCTGGCTTGGGGTGGATTCCCGTTTCTGTATTTGGAGGCCAGACAAGAATGGCTAGTGGAGCCTGAGCAGGGAGGGGGGGGGAACAGACACCGGTGTTGAAACATATGGAAAGTCGTAAGGATTTCGCACCCTTCCCCATCCCAGCAGGCGGAGTTAATAGTGCTGGGCTCTGGAGAGCCTTCCACCCTAAGCCCTCCCTGAACAGCAGGAGGAGTTGACTCCAACTCTTTCTCCAACACTGTCTGTAGCACCTGTGCAAATGCAGGTTTTAGCCAGAACATTCCACCCTAAGAGAAAGGTAAGCCTCAGCACTCGGGAGTGCCGGTGACAGCGCCCTTCACCACCTTTCTTCTTCCCTAAGTCAGCAGCATCTTGCAGCTCCTGAAACTGGTGAAGGACGCCTGGGATTTTGCAGTCCAGAACCTTGCAACAGAAGATGCTTATCAGTGGAAAGGGGAAGTCCAGGTGTCAGTAGAGCAGCGAGTGCAGCAAGGGGTGCCGAGCCCCTTACCGCCGGGGTGCGTGCAGGGCACGTGTTCCTGCTGTTGCCCCTGCTTGGGGTCTCATTGGGATGGGACGGTTTTGGTGTGACCCTCCAGACATGATGAAAGTCCGGCCATCTCTTGGCTACTGCCTCTCTAGTTCACAGAACCCCTGTGAGGCAGGTGATGGAATGTGATTGAATCTTGGCTTGTGTATTGTGAGGATTACATGCATTTTTGTTTAATTAAATTGAATTCAATAATGTGTAAGCTACATGTGGGAGGGGAATAAAGGCCACCAAAGCTGTCCACGTCCTGATCCCCAGAACCTGTGACTGTGTTAGGTTGCATGGCAAAGGGGAATCAGGATTACAGATGAAATTACTATGGTTGCTAACCGAATGCCTTTAAGATCAGGAGATAATCCTGGATTATCCAGGTGAGCCCGATATGATAACAAGGTCCTCAAAAGTGGAGGAGGGAGGCAAGAGAGGAGGTTGAAGCGGTGCGTTGTGGGCACTCAGTGTACCCCTGCCGAAACCTTAATTGCAGCCCAAGGAGACCCATGTTGGACCTCTTACCTACAGAACTGTAAGGTGATAAAGCTGTGTTGTATTAGCCTCTAAGTCTGTGGTAATGTTACAGCAGCCATAGGAAACTAATACACTGTGTAGTGACACATCTTCAAGAAATAGCTCTCCAGGCATTGAGGGATGTTTCAGAGTTTTCAGATCTCTGCCTCAAACAAGGAAACCACTCTTGCTCCATTTTCTAGCTTTCTCGAGATCTTGTGTTTCAAGAAGAAAGTATGTTCTTAAAGTTCCTAGAACTCATGGCTGCAAAAACAGTTTGAGGCATCTCAGCTAAGTGGGGAACAAGTGTGAGAAGGTATTCTTTTCCCCAGTCACCACCTCTGCCCATCCTGTACTGATGTCTTAAGGAGATTCCATAACTCACTGGTCACACTCAGCGTCCAGCCCAGTCAGAGTCAAAACTCCAATCTCAGATCCAATTCAAATCTCCCCTTTCCTGTCTCAGTGGGATAGTCAGGCTTCAGCTCAGGACTTGAAGTAGGATGGTGTGTGTAGTCTGCCCTCTCTTTCTTCACCTTCCCTTTCAGGGTCAATTTGCTCTAGGTTGGGGGTGGGGGCGGACAGGGAAGAAGATGGGGGAGAATCAGGGCAATGTAACATGACTGGTCATCTAACTGTGCTGGGAAGGTGGTGTTAGTCTTGTCTTGGCTCGGTCGGGGTGCACATGATACTGGAAATTTGCGCTGGTGTGCTGGTCTCCACATAAATGGGGGCAAGGTTTTCTCTGGGCCCTGTCCAGTCACACCCCTGAACTGAGCCCACCTTAGGACATCTGTATCTCCTTTTGGCCATCCTTGGTCTGTGTCTTTGCCCTCCTCTCCGGGTGGGTATTGCCTCACTTGGCCCGCTGGCTCATTGACTCATTGCCAAGCAACTACCAGAAAGCCCCCTCCCACCTCTACCCATGCTAATCCTTCAGGCCTCTGCCTTCAGAAACCTCCAGGCACACATGCTGGGCCCCCCAAGAACTTTCCCAGTTTCACCACATTCTGTCCCACTCACATGGCCCCCTCGGTCTTCCAGCACATCCAACTCTCCACGTCACTTTGGGGAGGAAGTAACCTCTCCCTGTGAACACTGCACTGGTGAAAACTTGTCCCTTCTGTCTTCCTTCCCCTGGTTCCCTGCTTATGTTGCAGGAGAACACTTACGTGAGGATGGAAAGCAGGAACCACGAGACATTCCTACCCAGCCTCTGCTCGTCACGCTGGAAGATGGTGTGAGACAGGACACTCTGAGCCTGTCCTCAGGCTGTGAGGGACCATGTGTAAGTTTAATTCAAACCTGTTTCCCTGAGCCCTTCTGTGTTTTCATAAAGAAACCTCTTGAGAGAGAGTGGTATGAAACAACACCTCCGTCCCCGATTCCCTACCCCCTGGTGGAGGTGAGAGGCCCACACCCATGGGGCCGCATTTCTCTCCCAGGGTTGGGCTGAGTATTCATTTCACCTTTCCCACGCGCCTGCTGGCTCTCCTCTTGGCGTGCAGCGCTGCTCCAGGCCCGGGCCTGTGGGAATGAGGCAGATGCTGTGAGGCCTCGCCCAGCTCCACTCCCACTCCCGCTTCCTCAGGCCTACACATTCTGGGACTCTGGCTGAGGGATTTCTCTGTCTGTGGAAACTTGCTGGCCTACAGGCTGGGCAGACTTGCCGGAGGTCGGTTCTCTCCACCGGTGACAGAGGGAATTGGCCAACTCGTCCCCCAGCTTCCTCACCCAGGCTGGGAGGTCAAGGCCAGGCAAGGTCTACACCATCTCCTAGAGGTCCCCCGTGGGAATGGGAGCATCTGTCTACACAGTAACCTGCCATCCCATGCACTTTGAATTTGCTTCCTTCTCTCATCAGCCACTTAAATCCACGGTGGGTAGGAAGTGTTAGAAAGAGAGAACATCAGAGAAAAAGTGCCTCCTTTAGGACCTCATCGAGCCCAATCCAAGAGAAGAGCAGACCTTGGTGAGTCCTTTATTCGAGCAGTGGGCTCTTATCCTGTTTTTGGTTAATAATTACATCCGCCTCAGCAGCTTCAGGGTTGCCTGTCGTTTGAGGCCATCAAGGATACAAACTGTGACACCGTCTTCCTTTTCCTAAGGTGCCTGGTACAGGCGCAGCACTTAGTAGCTTCTCAGTAAACGCTAAAGTCAGCAGAGCTCACTCCAGGGAGGTTGGAAAGGGCTCTCCAAAGACGCCCGGGCGAGAGAGTGGCTCTTGGACTTTCTGTCCATCTAAAGCCACCAATGAACAATAGTTTAAGCATCCTGACATCCCATTTTGCTCTATTACTGGAGCAGTCAGCATGCAGGCTCATGAGTGGATGTAGGGCTCCTCGTGTGAGGACTGTGGGGTCATCTTCAGGAGAAAGAAGCTTGGAGCCTGGCCTCCTTCCAGGGCAGAAGGCCAAGCCCTGAACTGAATATTGCCCTGTCCCCAGAACTGTGACCAGGATGTCCAGGGTTCCTTTAAGTGCTGCTTCTGCAAGGCTCACTCTGGACACTGCTCCCACGATGTAATAATATTTGGTCATAGCATTTATTTATGACACATAATTTATTATTACACAGGGAACTGGGAGGATGTTGAAAAATCCTGATTAGATCTGAGCTTGGGAATAAGCTTTTCTATAACCCTACTGAAAAATTCCCTAACAAGTCAAAGAAGGAAAAAGAAGAAGAAGAGAAAAAAGCCCCTGGTACTTGCAATGAAGACCAGATCATCAAGTCATATTTGTCACCCACAGGTATTAGATCGTTGGTCTCCAGGGACTCCCAGTTACTGCCTTAAGATGTCAGTGTCTGTATACGTTGCCTGGCTAGTAAACTTTGGAGGAATTGATGAACCGCTGTGTCTGGGCTTTTCATTTCTTTGGCCTGAGTCCTGCCAGGTAAGCTCACCTAACCTTCCCGAGAAATGTGGAGAAATGCGGAGGACATGCAGGCCTGGGAGTGCCATTGCTGGGACCCAGCCAGCCCCCAGATCCTCTGGTTGCAGAGTGGCCTGGCCAACTCACACAGGTAGTGTGCCCTTGTATTCTTGGAAAAAGAAGCATCAGAGTAAAAGGGGAGGGGGAGGGAAGGCTAGACGGGAATTTTTCCAGGCCCTTCTGCTTAGGAATTAAAAGTTTGCTGGGAAACGGTTCTGATGGCTTTAAATGTTACAGATGATATACTCCAGGGGGAACACAGTCCCCACGGGACGTGGCCTCTGGGAGTATTTAATATCACTGGCTATTGTGTTTTTCTACAACAAAACTCTACATCCCTTGAGAACAGAGGCTAATTTTCACAGGTCTTTGTTGTCTCCCACAGGGCCTTTCATACATGTGCCCAAGAATGCGTTGATCTACTTTGATCTCCTATTGTGTAAGAAGATTTCCTCCGGGAAAGGACGAGCAGTGAATTCATGAAACTTGGCACGGATTTTGATCTCAATTTATAGATGGGAACACCTATAAAATGAAGAGGGTTGGGCCAGTCTGTGAGGCCAGTTCTAGCTCAAAATCCTGGCATCCTCTAAGATGTGGAAGAGTGAGGTCAGAGGGAGGCGGCCAGCTGCTGGCAGCGCCGGGCAGCTGGGCACTGGGGCCCAGGGCTCTTCAGAGACCATGTCAGAATTCCCGTTTTGCCATCACCAAGATGTACACCCAAAGGCACATTCCACAGTACTGCCCCTGGGTGTGTAGGCAAATATTGATTTAAATCATTGAATGAGTTAGTATTTGCTGAGAACCTTCTACAGACAGTGAGCTGAGGGGCGGTGTCAGGAGGGGTACAAAAGGTGACTACATCAGGACCCTTGCCCTCAAGGAGGTCGGGGCCCTGTCTGCAGCAGGCTGTGTGGCCCTGCACACACAGCCACCTCCTTATTTCCTCATCTGTGAAACGAAGGAAATGAAACCAATTTTGCTTGTTATGAGAATTAGAGATAATATAGGTAAAGCTTGTTGGACTACTTCTAGGATCGGATTGTTATTAAGAAATAGGTTTTATAGGTCAAGTTCCCAGCACAGTGCCTAACACTTGGTAGGTATTAAATAACTGGTACTGTAAGGGAGCAGAATTTACCACCCCCAAATAGGTCTCTTTGGTATAACGATTATTTTAGGCTGGTTGTTTTTATTTTTTAATTTTTTCTTTTTTTCTATATCGAAGTATAGTTGATTTACAATGTTGTGTTAGTTTCAGGTGTACAGCAAAATGATTCATATATAATATATATTCATATTCTTTTTCAGATTCCTTTCCCTTATAGGTTATTACAAAATATTGAGTAGAGTTCCCTGTGCTATACAGTAGGTCCTTGTTGGTTATCTATTTTATATATAGTAGTGTGTATATGTCAGCCTAATTTAGCCCTCCCTCCACCCTTTCCCCTTTAGTATAGGCTGGTTATTTTTGAAAAACAACAGACACAGGAGTAGCTCTGAAAACCAAGCAGAAGTTACGCCTTGTAAAAGATGCTTACGTGTGTGAGGGAAATCTATATTTGTAAGGGTGTCTCCCTTGCTGTATCAGGAAGAGGGGGAGGACTCAATCTCTAGAAACTCTTATCAGTGGAGAAGGCAAAGGGCTTCAATCTGCCTAATAAGCTTACTCTTATCACTGTGCTTTTCCTGATACCCTCTCATAACTCCCTCCTCCTTTCACATCTTCATTTGTCTTCAGCTGAAGATGGTATTGAAGATGAGGGTTTCCACCATTTCAGGGAGTTAGTTTTCCTGGGTCTCTCCCATGGATACAGGAGGTATACATGCTATTAACCTTTTGTTTGTTTTTTCTCCTATTAATGTGTCTCATGGCAAGTTCATAATTAGACCAGCCGAAGAACGCAGAAGGGAAGAAGGCAACGTGTTTCCTCCCCTACAGTAATTACTGTAGTTGCTGGTAATATACTCTCATCATTATTATCAGCACGGGCCAGCATTAGTAACGCTTTCAGCAGAGAGGAGACCTGAGAGGGACCAGGGAGGGGAGGGGCTCAGTGAATGGCAGGTGAGTTTCCACCCAAGAGCTCTTTGCCTCTCTAACGCTCAATCTACGTGCATCACGTCCCCACCTGTGTCCCTACGAAGCTACTCATATGCTTGTCATTCATTCTCCAGAACCCTTAGACTCACCCTTCCACAAGGCTTTCTAACAGGAAATACAACTGTCAGCGGATTTTTTTAAAAGTGAAAACCAAGTTCAGCGCTCATGCATTTCTTCAGGCATTAACCGTAAACCGCACTGCCTCATGAGCAGATCCCCACCCGCTCTCTGAACGAGGCAAACCCTGGTCTCTGTGCTGATCCAGAGGTGGTTTTGTTATCCGCAGTTCAGTCAGGGGGGCTTTGGAGGCTCTGCCCTTAAGTGGGGCTGAGGCGGGCTAGAGCCACTCCACTGCCCCCAGAGGAATGTGAGAAATCCCCTTGATCCCTAAAGAATCTGGATTAACAAGCCTTCTTGGTGGGCAAGGAAATCTGCTACAAATTCTAGCATCTAAATCCAAAGGCTTTCAAATTCTTGCTTCTTAAAGCTAGTCCATTAATTAATTCCATACACATCACATTTTTTTCTCTCTCTCTTTTCCTGTGCTCCTGTTTTTCTCTGAAACCATAACTGTATTTGGGGGGTTAATAAACAAGTAATTGTAGAAAAGGTTTTTACTGCTTTGACCTCTCCTCTCTCCCTCCCTTTCTCTCTCCCACAAAAGCTTCACAGGCAGACCTCCTTTTACCGTACTTAGCTTTTTTGCACTTTACAGATCTTGTGTTTTTTTTTTACAAATTGAAGGTTTGTAGCAACCCTGCACCGAGCAAGTTTCTGGGAGCCATTTTTCCAATAGCATTTGTTCACTTCGTGTCTCTGTGTTACAGTCTGGTAATTCAGTATTTCAAACTTTTTCCTTATTACTGTATTTGTTATGGTGACCTGTGATCAGTGATCTTTGATGTTACAATTGTGAATGTTTTAAATGCCCGTATAAGACGATGAACTTAACCCATAAATGTGGTGTGTGTTCCCACTGCTCCACCGACCTGCCACTCTCCATCCCTCTCCCCCCCTCACCTCGGGCCTCCCTTATTCCTTGAGACACAACAGTATCGAGTTTAGGCCAATTAATAACCTACCATGGCCTCTAAGTGTTCAAGTGAAAGGAAGAGTCGCCTCTCACTTCCAATCAAAAGATAGAAATGATTCAGCTTAGTGAGGAAGGAATGTCCAAGGAAAACGGGCCAAAGTCTAGGCCTCTTGCACCAAACACTTAGTCAAGTTGTGAAGGCAAAGGAAAACTTCTTGAAGGAAATTAAAAGTGCTACTGAAGTGAACACATGAATAACAAGAAAGTGAAACAGGCTTATTGCTGATATGGAGAGGGTGTCAGTGGTCTGGATAGAGGGTCAAACCAGTCACAACGTTCCCTCGAGCCAAAGCCTAACGCAGAGCAAGGCCCTCACTTGCTTCAGTTCTGTGCAAGCTGAGAGAGGTGAGGAAGCTGAGGAAGGAAAAGTGTGAACTTGCACGTGGCACTTAGCCTTTCTGGGCCCCACTTTCTTCATCTGTGAGATGAGGCTAATCACACTACTTAACACCCCATTCCTGTGAGCATTAAAGTGTGTGCAAAGCCCACATGGTGCCTGGCACACTTCAGAGAGTCCCTAAATATTAGAAATAGTTATTCCTTCTCTCTCCCCTGCCTCCTGGACTCGTGGTGCTGCTGTATTGCTGCTGAAATTTTAATAGCTTAAGATAGCTTAATATTGAAATATGGAACCTGGAAAATGCTATATCTTTATAGAGACAGAAGTAGGGTTAATCTTTTGTCACACATTTTCTAAATGTCCTGATTGATGGGGGAGGGAGATCCGGAAGAAGGAGTTGGAGACTTTGCCCTAATCAACCTGGGCCTTGAGCTTTGGTTCCAGATGCTGTTATGACTCAGAATGCTCAGGCCAGGGAGCAGACATGGTTTTACAAAATTATCTTCCCAAGGTGCAAAGACCGCAGCTTCAGAGACACCTGTGAGTCAGCAGCAAGAGTGAACTGTGAGTAGGGAGACCGTCACTGATAAGGAAGGGATGACTCAATGACCTAGACTTTGGTTAGGTATGATGATCTGAACGAAGTACCACTTAGGTGAGTATTTTGTGCCAGGTTGTTGGGGAGAGGGGACGGAAGTCATTAAGACTATGACATGGGATGAGACTTCCCTGGTGGTCCAGTGTGGTTAAGACTCTGTGCTTCCAGGGCGTGTGGTTCCATCCCTGGTTGCGGAACTAGGATCCTACATGCTGCACGGCCAAAAAAAAAAAAAAAAAAAAAAAAATGCTATGAAGTGGGAGCTTTCTTCCTGAAGGAACTCGGGAGGTGCTCCAGCAGACACCCACGCATCCCTTTCTGCCAACCCCTTCAGCCCTCAATTCCCTTTTTGTGCCAAGAATCACCCTCTTGGGGAAACATTTTCTCACTTTACTCATTACAGCCACTCTCCTTCTTTTCTTCCCCCAAACCACTCTTATAAATGCCAGGGCTCAGGAAAAGAGTCTCTCCCTTCTCTGCTTCCCCAGAGTTAGCAGAACTACAAGGACCCACCTTAGAAGACCACGTGAATCCCACAGGCATTTCCCAGAAAGATTCTGGCCCATCCTGTTTATAAAAGAGTCACAAAAGGAATCCCACGTTGCGTGCAGAATGAACAGGTTTCACGCTGGATGGATTACCATCTGCATGGAGTGTCCACACCGAGCACAAATGAACCCCCTTATTTCCCTTCAAGCCCCAGCTGGTTCCCGCCTCCCACTCAGCCCCCAGAGCCTGGCACGCTAATGTGAACGATTTCCTGAGCCAGAGAGGAAGGGGCTGCAGGTTTTATTCATCAAGATTTTGGGGCCCCATCCTAGCATCTAAATCAATTCAGCTGATATTTATTCAGAAACTAGCAGGAAGGCTTGTGCCAGACTGCTGAGGCACTGTCTCTTCACTGAGGTACTTAGCGCAGTGCCTGACACTGTCTTTATGATCCTTTATGTAGCCACGTCCCACTGTCCAGCTGACCACGTCCGTCTGTGCTCTGGGGAGACCTGCAGGCTTTGATTTGGGTTTTACTGGGTCTTGGTGGGGGCAGGGAGGGAGTCAGGGCAGGGGATTGACAGGAGAAGAGGCTCCTCAGCTAAGCTCGGGCCCAGGTGGCCCTGGGAGCCTCGCAGGCACAGATGGGCTGCTTTTCCCTTCTGCAGCTGGAGCCCTGATCTCCTGTCTGGCTGCCGCCATTCACACACAGATCCCATGCCCCGAAGTTAGCAGCGGCTGATCCCTTCCAGAGCTCAAGGGCTGGCACTGCCTGCACCCCTCATTCTGTCTGTTCCCCTACTATTTCCTTGAAGATCATGTATGGACCTCACCCCCTTGGCTAATGAGACCAGGAGCTCCTGGAGGGCAGGGTTCTGGTCTGGGTGTTTTCCATCTCAGCTGTCGGCACCCTGCTTGGATCAAGGCTTAGTGTCTAATTGATTGTTTCCAAAATGCCAACTTGACCAATTCCAAGTGAATCTTGAACTTTCAAGGAGCCCTTGACTAAATACATGTCCAAAGTTAGACCTGTAGCCATCCAGCAGATCGACAGACATGGTTGGCTCAGCCCTCCTTCTGCAGCTGGAGCGCTCGCCCTGGACCCTGCATCCTCCCCTAAATATCCAGGCAGAAGGTAGGGACCTGTCAGGCCCAAGGCCCACGGAAGAGACAGGGGAAGCAAGAGGAAGGGAGAGATTAGGAAAGAGATCCCCAAAAGAGAAAGAGGAGGGAGGGGATCAGAGGACACAGAGAGACACAGAGAAGCGGGGAGAAAGACAAAGGAGAGAGAGAAAGACAGAGGAGCCGGGGGAGCATGGCAGACAGCTCAGGAGGGCTGGGGGTTGCCATGCCATAACTTGTCCTCATTCTTGAGCACCTACTGTGTGCCAGGATCTGTTGTAGACCCTTGAGGATACAGTGGTCAAGAAGACAAGCTCTTTCCTCAAGAAGTTTATATTCCCATCGATGACTGATGACAAATAAATTAGTATATAATAAGAGTTGTTGAAGAAAAATGAAGCAGGTGATGGTCTACTCTCAAATAGAAGCTAGTTTCACTCAGAAGCTTCTGACTCCTAGTCTAGTGCTGTCGTGTTAATGTGAAAGACAAAACTCCCCAGATCATGAAGGAAATGCTTTTATTCAG